GGTTACATTTGCACTCTTGCGGTAAGCTTGCTTACTAACTTGTCACACTTACGTTTCTCTTTAAACTTGAATCGATGTCAAAACTGATTGTGCCTCAACTGCTTGAAGCCTTTCCACTGCAACAGCTTCTTGAGAAAGAAAACAATGAAGTGGGAGGCTTTAAGTAACCTGCAATCACCAAATGTGGTGTTAAATTAACTGGACTGTATTGTAATAAAGCGAGCTATTAAGAACCACAGAGTTCTTTTATTGCCATATCAACATCGTACAGTATGGGCAGTCCCTTCATCAGTAGCTCACGTTTCTTAAAAGGGTTGAAAAGAATCCTACTGAAAGCATTCTCCAGTGTTGGCTCTCTCCTCCTGTACATGCTCTGGCCAATGATCTGCTTTTGTTTTGCTACATAAACCTGTGCTCTTGTGCCTTAACAAGAAAAATCATGGAAATTTATCTTTTGGGCTTCTTTCTTTCCAAATTTCCTCTTATTGTGGAAAAGTAACCTCAACAGAACATTTTCCTGTTCCCTCTTTGTTCTGTCAGCTAGAACTCTTGATGTTATTCAGTCTTGGGGCCTAGAGCTCCATCTTTAATGCACAGGGGCTTGGTGCAGAAATTCTGAAGGCTAAGGCTTATCAGAACTCTGAAAGATTGCAGGAGACATTGAGCACAGACGTCAGTAAAACCTGGTGATGCGGTGAGCGCGAGATGAAGCTGATGCAGACAAGTTCCTTGAGAGCTGGGACTCTGCCAACTACAGAGTGGGTGGTCACAAAAGGGGAATTGGCCTTTGTCATTTAAGAAGCCAGAGGTGCTCAAAGTTACAACATAGATGCCCTTGTCATGAGAGACCCCTTTTCGCCCCAAATTCATTATGGTATGTATAACTTGGACTCCTCTGCCTTTTAAACTCGCTTGTTTAAACTCTTTTCTTCTTCTGGGAAGATGAGTCTTTCTCTGGAGCTAATAGCAGGGTAGTGCTTGTTTCTGCAGTTCTGTGCAGAACTAATGCAGCTCATGTCTTTCAACACAACCCACTGTGCCCTGGACAACAAAATACGTTAGTGGAACACAAAACGCTGAGCATGTTGGCAGGATGTGACAGATCAGGTTCAGAGGCTCAGAAACCTACTTGCCTTTACTCCTCCTTTGCTATCTCAACTTCCAGGTTCTCCCAGTGTCTTTTTTCTTCATCACAGTAAGTGTAAGCAATACCCTGTCTTGAAGTATGAACTGCAAGTGCTAGGAACGGGAGAGGCACGCTTTAAATGTGTAAGCCAAAGGCTTACAAAGTTTTCCTAGTCAGTGCTGTTTGCTCTGCAGTCTGTAATAGGCTGTTCTGGTTGTCAGCTGAAAAGGGTTATTTTACAACTTTAAACTTCCCACGATTGTTCTTGCTCATTTAAACAAGGAAAGGAAGGTGATCATTTGCGAGGGTGAAGGAAATAATGTATCAGGAAACCATAATCAGACCAGAAGTTTTTGAATGACACTCACTAAAGATGATTTTGGGTGGTTCAGGTTGGTGGTGGGTGGGTTGGTTTGTTTTTTTAACACGAGAACGGTTGGCATGAGTGTGAGAGCACTTGCCAAGAAGCAGAACGTCTCTTCAGGTAGAAATGAGTGAGGTTTACTTCGTGACATGCTCCAAAAGATAACTTGATTTGCAGAAGGTTGTAACAGCTTCGTGTGTCAGTCAAGCTTATAAGTTCTGTCAGTAAACTAACCTCAGTGTCTTTACTTGAACTGGCAGAAAGCTACTCGGGAAGTACCTTTTCCTTTGAGCAGTTAACACAGTCCTTTTACTAATACTCGTAGCCATTGGTCGGAGTGGTGAGTGAGAAGACCTTATTTTCTGATGTCAGAGCATCAAACCTGGGTACTTTTTGGTGGTAGGCTATTAAAAACTTTATGAGTTGTCTAAGTAGCTACTGTTGATAGAGTAGAAATGCTACAGTCCACCACAACTGTAAATTCCAAAAAAAGACACATTAAGAAAACGGCACAGTTCAGTGAAGCGTATGTACTCCAGTTTGTACTGAGGCCAGCTCAAAGTGCTCTGTGGAAAATATTTTATTAGGGCAAGCTGGGCACAGCAAGTACAACTTAGATTTCCATTTCTGAAGTGCAGCCATGTGACAAGTAACTCCAAGGAAAACTGTGTCTCTGATGGTTGCAGCTCCTTCATCAATGAGCACGTCAAGACTTACTACGGGTACGAACTTTAGCATTTTACAAATTTATGGGTAACCTCATAGATTCCAACAGATTCCTTTGTTTTTTCATCATAGTCATTCCAATCCTGTAGGACATAACATTTCACAGTATTAGTCACAAGAGGATAGAATGCAATTGTGTCTAAAACACAGACTGGAATTCAAACGGATACTAAGCCTTACTCCAAGTTTGGGTCTTAGATTTCTGTGGAAAGCACTGTGCAGTCACTAAGCTAAGTTCTGATAGCTGAGAGGAGCAAGACCACTGACCTGAAATTAAATGAGCTTCAGTCTCAGTGGTTTTATTTTAACAAAGATTATTTTTTTTCATATGTAGTCCACAGCCTGCAGTGGACAAGACAGCAACCCCGGCAGATGAAAGGATTATCTATCATTTACAATACCCTAGTCAGGTGGGTAAGCAGACAAGCAGATCCCTGCCAAGTAGGATACCAGGGAACAGATTTGACCTTGAGATTCTTGCTCACAGCCAAGGAAGATTTGCAATGCTGGAGTCATTATCCTGAGCTTTGAAGGACAGTCTCTATATTACTTTTTAATATCTCTGTGCACGGGAAAAAGTGTGGGCATCTTCCTAGAAAAATCAGTTTACCACTGTGAATAACCCCAGCTGTTAGTATTCCAGGTGTTTGCTCTCTGGAATTCCTGAGTTCAGAGCTGCATTTCTGCCTTTGTCAGCTGCTATGCTATCAAACACGTACTTCTAAAATGATGCTGTTAGTAAATGCTGGTTGGTCACAGTTGATTTAGGTTCTTTCTCCAGCTATGACCTTCCTATGCCTACATGAAAGAGCAAAACTAGTCTGTTGCATGTGCAGGGTGTGTATTCTGGATAAAGAAAGACAAATAAATAGGTTTACTAATAAAACCAAGACAACGTACCTTTTCTAACAAGTTTATGTCATTGAAAGGTGTGCCAGATTCTGCACCTTCAGCCGCAAACCCTGCCTGCAAATACATTAGCAGTAAGTTTTTAAGAATAAGTTGTACCAAGAAAATAAAGTATGATCATTGAAACATGTTTAAAGAAAGTAACTCAGCACAGTATTTTATTGTATTTCTTTTAAATCAGGTAGAAGGAATGGCCAAGCTCTTTCTTGGTTGAAAGTCGGTATGAGCTGGTCACCCTGTCTGTGAATGGCAAAATTCAATCTAAGCAACCACAGAGTAAAATGAAGGAACACTGCTCCGCTATTGTTCCTGCCAAAAAGGTATCTCCAAGCATTCTACATAATGTTAAACCTGAATTTCTAAGTTTATGTAGCAGCATCCAACTACTAACAGCTTTGTGTTCAGAATCCATACAGGCATTATATATAACATACCTTCATCATAAACTTGCACTACAAGAAAACAATAGAAAGAAAATGTGGAAGAGAATTAATAGTTTTGGCTTAAATATTATCAGAATCCAAGACATGCTAGAGAAGGAGCAGCTTGTATTGGGTTTAGGTACAGATGTGATTAGGAAGCTTTACGTGAAAGGAGGGTTAGCTGGTCAAACGAACAGATTAGGATACCCAGACCATCATTTCTTCACTGTTGCTGTTTTTGAAGAGTTGAAGGAAAGGATAGCACTAGGAAGGAAATGGCATTGGTGGGGTATAGCACAAGAACAAGGTGTTATGGTTTATCTTCTGTAGGAACAGCTCTCTCGTTTTAGGGTTCAGTTATCAAGCTGTAAATGAACTTTTAAAAGTAAATTCAAAAACCTCAGCCACCTCTGTAGCATAGAGAAAGCATTCAGTTTCTTACACTGCCATTTCTAACTACAGAATGTTATTAAGAAGTGGCTACAGAGCAAAAGTAGCTTCTTCCTGGTTTTCTGTGAGTGACCTACACTTGCATTTTTGATAAAGAAATCCCCGCCAGTACCAGTCAGACATTAACTGTGTAAGAATGTGTGAAGCAAGCCACATGATTTTAAAATACTTGGGGATTTGAAAGGAAGGTTAAGCACTTGGAAGTTAAACAGACCACGGAGTGTGGCAGATGGAACAAGGAGAGCTAGCTGCAAGGCACAGTGTGAGTACAGCCTTTACATCATTGTCAGAAGCCCATCTCAAGGGAACTGCTAGCGGTGCAGAAGAAGATCCGCATCGTGGGACAAAAATGCAGAGCTGTGATATAGAACAAACACTTGAAAAATAAAAGT